TTGAGAGCAGTAAGCTTTTAGGATGAGATGACAGTAAACAGTTGCTCGCCTGAAGTAAGGATGTTTGAGAGCATCCTGCGCACTGATGCGTTGATCGGGATCGTAAGTCAATAGAGATTGTAGCAAGTCAAGACCCGCTGCGGTCAAGTAAGGGAATTTCTGCCTAAATCCAGGGGCATGAGGGGAAGGAAGACTGAGACTGCTGGCCAGAGGAAGTGTACTATATCCGGGCCAGCTGCGAGGAGTCGGAGGACCAAGCAGCTTGAATACCATGCTGATCATGTCAAGCTCGGACGTTGCTTGGAACATGGGCTCATTCAGCAACAACTCGCCAAATATACATCCAACAGACCACAAGTCTATTGCGGTCGAATATTGAGTAGCTCCCAAAAGAACTTCAGGCGCCCTGAAATTTGACTGCAATGAGGAAGAAGTGCCTAGTCATCATCCATGGATGAAACACAGACCTATACCACAGCGTCACGACAAGCTGCGTCAACCCTCCTACGCCGATGGGATCGCCGTAGCGTCGAGCCAAGCCAAAATCAGCGACTTTGATAGTACCGCGATTATTCATAAGAAGATTACTAGTCTTGAGATCTCTATGAAGGATCCAGTTCGAGTGGCAGTGAGCGACTGCTGACAAGAGCTGCATCAACAAGGTCTTGATCTCCGACTGAAGGAACGGGGAGGGCATTGTGGTGAGAAGAGTCTTAAGATCGTGCTCAATGAAGTCCATCACTATGAAAACTCTAGAAATCAACTCATATGCACCAGAAACGCTGGGAGAGCGGCAAAAGGACATACTGAGTCAGTGTATCGCCAACCACGACTTCACGAATGCCGACAACGTTTTCGTGACGACAAGTCATCAGTGCGTTAATCTCTCGCAAAGCAGTGATAGGAAAGCCATGCTTTTCTTGGTCCAATTTCAATTTCTTCAAGGCCACTAGATCGCCTGTCTGCTTGTCACGAGCCCTGAAGACCACGCCGTAAGATCCCTCCTCTATCTGGTTGAGGCGTTCATAAGAGTATACGGAGCGCGAGGGCATGATGCTAGGATGATCCTGCCGATTTGGAACATATTTGCTTCCTGATTTTTTGGGAGGAAGTCGAGGAGCTTGCAGCGTTTGGGAAGGCTCTGTGGATGAGATAGCTGAAGGCGGAGTGGAGGGTTTTCGCTGCTTCTGTTTCCTAGGTTGGACAGAAATGATGTCCTCTGGAATCTGGTCATCCGATTCATCTCGTTGCCATCTCGAACGCTTGCGATTTGAACTCGCACTGGTGCTCGTTTCGGCCATGGGAAGTACAATTACATAATCAACTTGAACGAACTTGAAGAGACGAACATTTTCTTAGACCATGTTTGACGACCCCAATCTCCCAAGGCTCAGGACTGTCACCCTCTAAAAATGGTCGCACACAAACTTGGGCAATCCCAACAAAGAGCTCTTCCAAGATCCACCGCAAACGCAACCCTGTCTTTTCAATCGCTGGCTCCGCATTAAATTCCAAGAGACTGGCTTTGTAGCGTTCGCTGCCGCCACCATTATCACTTGCCACATGAGACACAAGAAAATCCACCCCGAAGAGTTCGAACGCATTAGGAAGAGGCTGGAAAGCACTTAGCATATTGAGCCGTGTAATAAATATGATGTCATGAATACCTGAAAATGAACGGGGGTATCTACAGCTGCTTGAAATGTCTCTGTCAAGATTGTACCCATTTGGTCCAGAAGGTCAGAGACATCAGAAGCAAGGACGGTATGTCCATAGTCATCGATATTTCCTTGCAGTTCTTCCAGTAACTTCACGTAGGTCGAATCCTCTTCCTTTTGCAGTGAAGTATTGGTGAGGTGACCTTCATAGGATAATGGTATGTCTTGCACACCGGAATCGGCTGTAGGAAGAGAAGCATACGGTGCTGGTGCAAATAGGGCCAGAGGTTTCTCGTACAGAAATACGTCGAGTGCGCCACGAACCACACAATACGCCCTTATATGGAACTGCGTGAGGGAGACCGATCAGAGCAACGTGGCGAATTTTATTTGAGACTACTTGCTTTATGACGGTGGAAATTCTCATGATGATCTGGAAGAGGTGCTTTCGGTTGTCTCGGATCTATTAGGACGGGACCGGAAATATATTCCTATGTCGAGGGTTAGCAGTTTCTCAACCAGGAACCAATTTGAGCAAACCTGAATAACGAAATGTCGCAACTGTGAAAGAAGATGTCCTGCATCATCATCATCATCATCGTCCTCATCGCTCCCCGAGTCGGTGGGGTCGAAGCCCTCAATGATGCCTCTCAATTTTGCTTTAGTATCGAACAAGTGAATGTCCATGCCAGCATCCGCCATGCTTGGTTTCAGAATCCACCATTTTCTCGACACATGATCAGTTTCACCGGCATCTAGAATTTCGGAAAGATCATAGAGATCGTCCGTCCACAGTTCGTCCAGTTCATCGGCGAACGCGATTTCGACGTGCCATGTCCTGGGAACGGCTGCTCTGAGTATTGACTGAGGACGCTTTTTAACATAAGCCTCCGTGATACCGGCAAGGAAATGTTTCCTGATCAAAGCCTTGCGAATGATGAGAGCTGAGGCCAGGACGCGTTTGTTGTATAAGGTTAATTCGTGATTGATGCTATCGTAGGCAGCCCATTGTAGAACACCGTTCGGGGAAGATGCGAAGTCCGCAGGAAGGGAAGTTATGGTGATATTAGGTAGAACCAATCCGAGCGCCCTGCGAATCAGCCACTCTGTTAAAGGAGCAGTAGGGAAAGTTATCAGTGCAAGAGACTCTTCAGGGACTGCCATGTTAGTGGGCGCGTCGACTATCTTTGGCGCCTGCAACATTGGCGAAGACCGTCGAGCTCATATGTCATGGCTAATCACATATTCACTCTGCAACCGACATTCACGCAAGGCCTTATCCTTGGCCAACTATCTGTCATCCTCCTCCTAGCTGTTGTTCTTAAATATCTATTTCTGAACTCTGAGCCTCGAGTTGTTGGGGATCATGCATCCATTCATCCTGGGACTGGGAAGCCTGCGCGCTCTGGCAAATCATCAACTCAGGATCCAAATGCTAGTGTTTCGTCCGGTGATCATCTGAGCCTCTCAGAACCTGAGACTCTGCAATGGTTCAACGAGATTTTACGCCAGGTACGGGTATACAAATTCTTTGGAACAAGCCATTCTGATATATCTTTTGTATCTAAGGTTTTTCATAATTATCGAAGAGAAATACGTGGATCGTTGGATGGAGACGAAGGTGATGAGTTCGTCCGTCGAAAGATTGAGCTCGCCATCAACGAACTGCGCCCCGCAAAATTCATGGTAAACAAAATATATCTTCGACACCCTCTCCTCTCGCCTCATATTCTCGTAGGACTTCATCAAAGTTCACTCTGTTGACATAGGGGCCAGCGCTCCCTCTTTCAGCAAGGTCTCAATTGTGCGAAACACACCTTCATCACTACCTCCTACGGTATCTATGTTCCTCTGCTGAAAGGTCGAGCCCCTGATCCACAACATGCTCTAGAACACCGTTTTTCATATAACCTACACCGATTCGATTTCAATATCGATTTCTACTTCGATCCTCTTACATTATCCGAGCGCCAACTTTGCACGTTTGCCAGTCGCCCTATCAGTGTCCTTGGCGCTTTTCTCTTCTGAGGTGCATAATATTAGTTTTTCTCAACCCGCATGAGATCTGACTGACTGGACGCGTAGCTTCATCTTCAGCCACCTTCTCCTGACAGTCTCACCCCCGAATTTACCGTTTCTCTGGCGCCCGATTTTGACCTGGAATTGCAGATCAATTCGCTGATGGGTAGCAGGGCCAAATTGGCGGACGTACCTAAGGTCCATGAAATGATACAAACTCAAGTGAGAAGACTACTTCTGCAGAAGGGTATCTTCAAAATAGTGCTGCCTTCTTTGACTCGTGATAAAGTTCCTACCAGTAGCCAGCAGGATCAGATTTAGTCGGATACCGACATCGTCCAGCCCTCACCCCTTCATAGCATTTGTAGCATTACGATAGAGATTGTCAGACTTGTAATAATTATTTTATTTTATTTGCTTATGCTTTGCATTCGACAAGAACTTGTGAACAGTGTTTTGTTGCTTCGACGCGAACGCCGACGACCTAATACGCGACTGCCACTAATTATCGCACCGTATGACGTCTGTTACCTCCAACGTCTTGTTCGACGACTTGTTCACGGTGACAGACATCGACAAGGAAGGGAAGAAATATGAAAGAGGTTCGTCCTGACTTTGTTCGAGAACTCCCAGCTGCCTGAACTACCTCGTGCGCTTCAGTCTCCCGTCTGTCAGCCCGATCTGCAAATTTTGATATGGAGCTATCACTCGATTACAACACGGAACTTTATACACTGCATCCTGAAGAGAAATTCACTCTAGTTCTGGCTTCGTCGTTGGTTCGCGGAGGGGTTGTTGGTCCAGGTGGGGATGGAGACGAGGAAGGCACCGATATGGATCGCGACGTTTGGAGACCGGACGGGAAAGGTCGACGTGGTCTGGAAGAGGACTACGAGTACGTGATGTACGGGAAGGTTGTTGGTTACGTTTGCTGAACTACTCTCTGAATGCTGATAGTCATCACCTAATAGGTATATAAGTTCGACGAAGGTCTCGAAGACGCTGTGTTCGTGTTGCACTTTCATCTCTAAATCAGCAATGCTTATTAGCCCCATAGCACAGCATATGCCTCGTTCGGGGGTCTCTTGATGACTTTGACTGGGTCTTTTCGACATATGCAAGGGATCGTGCTTGGGGATCCAGTTTACCTGTTGATGCGCCGATAAAATTATGGCTTTCGTATCTTATATATGTTGTTAATCCAACAAAAATTGGTGAGCGATACGTTGTACTTTAGGTCATTGTTCTACATCTAGATCTATAGACTCTAGATGAGTACCGGGTAATGCGGTAAAAATGAGCATTTTGGATCATGCCAAAAAATTCCGTCACGGGGAATCGAACCCCGACCTTATCGGTGAGAGCGATATATCATAGCCATTAGACAATGACGGAGACGTTGGTTTTGGGGTTAGAACACTTCTTACGACTGTCAAATAGTAAATGCGGATTTCTATTCGTGACACGAAGTTCTAACGCCGAAGCGCACGTGATGCAAGTTCAGACGCGCTTCATCGTGTATTGTGCTATTTGTCCCGCCTCCCTTCCACAGTCAACATTGTAGCGTCAGGCATGCAACCGGCAGTCAAGCAGTCTGGCTTGGATATATGGTCAATGGCTATCCGTACTTCGATGGCGAATGACCCAGGTCGTCAAATTCTGGAGGACGACATCCAGATCAGCGGGTTCCTGTTTCTCGAGGAGTATTTGGAAGGGATCCTAGCTGGGCCTAAGAGAGAGTATGAGATCTTCCTTCTTTCTCTCTTTGCTTCACTTAGTATATACAGGGCTTTGATTGAACTCGTCAAAACCCCTGGACGAAGGAAGGAGGTGCCGCGAAAGACACGAGTCGCCTCGCCAACGAAGTTGAAACAAAGTGTAAGGAGTATTGCTCACTACAATATGGAGAGTCTCTCAACAAATAATACACAGGCCAAAGAGAATTCCCCTCTCAGGATACAGAAACCGCTCGAGAAATCACGTTCAAACGTGTTGTCACCTCTGAGAACTCAACACACCAACGGGTGGGATGCCGACGACAATCCATTCAAGCCGGTGCCTGTGCTTGATGAGGGTCCGAAATCACGCAAGGCCACGAATTCCAACCACATTCAAGTGACCACACCCAGCTCTGGGGAGGGACCTACCACCGCTAAGCTGGTGCCACCCCCCACCGATGCGCACGAACTATCTATGATTGTCGAGGGTGATGAAAACGATGCTAGATTGACATCAACTGCATCTGCCCAAGCCGCACGTTCTGGAATCTTCTCGACTCAGATGTCACACCCAAATGTACCAACCGTCAACGAGGTTCAAGAGGTGAAAATATCGACGCCGGACGATATAATAATGAACGATGCCGATTTGCCGCCACCCATACACCCTACTCATGCAGGGGGTGAACCGGTTGCAGAATTCATCCCGCCAGCTCCTGTGATGCTCCCCAGCCTTCCGGCGCCATCTCCACTGAAACCTTCCGCGCGTCTCTCCTCAGTCGAAATTCCTGTTGTCCAGCAACTGCCGTCCCGGACTTCGTGGCTAGTAAGAGCACGTGACGCGAGGATTTCTGAAGATACAGCTCGTCTGAATCTTGGTATCTTGGCTGTGCCTCTCGCGAATTCACTCAAACGAAAGAGCGATGATTCCGATGCGCCTTTGGATACTCCAGCGAAGCAGCCTCCTCTGAAGGTTAGGAGAGATAGTGAAGTGGAGAAGCCAGCAGCTGCTGGGACGAAGACTCCGAAGCAGAATGGTCCACCTGTCCTGCATACCCAGACTTACAGCGAACAGTCGCGTACTCAGCCAACCGCAAAAGCGCATCATCCAGCGTCGACGGATAAAGTGGGTGCAGATCAAGAGAACACCTTGGATCAGCTCAAGAAAACAGTGGAGGGATTCAGTGCCAGAGCAGGTACGGGCTTGGGTAAATCGTTTGGGAGTGCAGCGGTCAATGCAGCAGTGCAAGCAAAAGCCGCGGCTGAGGCGCGTCTTGCCCAACGATTTGTTGTTGAGTCGACACAACAGCAGGATTCGACCCCAGAACCGACAGTCACATTGGCTGCTCACTCTGCGTTGGAAGTTGTTCAGCCGCCTGTCGATGAATTCGTCCCCCCACTTCCGGTTCTCGTTCCCTCAACACTTCCTTTGCCACCCGATCCCGTCGTCTTCAAAATCCACGAGCGTCCCTCTGCGGCGTCGCCCCCTCATTCCACTCCGAAGCCAAGCGAAGTTTTCACACAAACCACCGTCTTTTCATCTCAGTCTACTTCTATCTTCAGCAACGAAGAAAGCAGTATCTTTGACAAGCTTCCTGTTCAATCGAGTCAAGACACGGTCCTAAGCAGCCAAACAAGTACTCAGCCTTATGACAACTTCTTGTCTCAAAACCAGCCCCTCACGCAGTCTTCTGAGGTTGAGCCCAAAGCTTCGAAGGATTCACATCTGTTGTTTGCTTCTCATGAGAAGGAGGTGGTCTCTGCCCATATGGACGAAGATACGGTGAAACCGCCGAAGCCGAAGGCGGTCACAGAGGTACGCTGGATATGCTCGTCAAGCTACCTTGTTTTACATTCTTTGCTAGATCGAAGCCCCATCGAATATCGCTTCGCAGGGTCTTCTTAGTCAAGCCACTACACTAGTTGCCAAGGCCTTTGGTGCCAAGAAACCGAAACCGGAAGTCAAGAGCATACATCTAGCTGCCCAGGCCGCTAAAAAGGTGTGTATACATTGTCATCGTATTCCCGCTCTAACATTCTAAGCAATTGCAGCAACAGGAGGAAGCAGAAAAGAAAGCGATCCGCATGAAGGACATGGAAGCCAGAAGGCAGCAAGCGGCACAGAGGAAAGAGGCTGAAAAGCCCCGTGCTTTAGAACCCGAACGATCACAAAAAGATTTGGACGAGAAGAAACCAAAGGTCTTCAAGAAGGTGAATTGACCGAATCTTTTTCCTCTGGACTTGTCCTGAAAACTATCTAGCCTACTGCTCTTTCCGACGATGAACACACTCAGCCAAGAAACCCGATCTCTGAAGACAAGAAGACTGAGACGCGCATACCTCCGAAGGAGTTCAAATCACAATCTCGCCTTGTCAAACCTGTTCAAACGTCGCATTCGACGCTTTTGAGTTCATCTACCGCAAAAAAATTGCCGCCTCCCATGGATTCTAAAGCTGCTCCGAAGCCATCTGAACTAGGATACCCGGCCGAATCGTCAAATGCGACCAGTTCCTCTAAGCCATTATTGACGAAGGCCAAAGTTTTACAGATCCAGAAAACCAACGTGGAAGGCGCTGCTCATTCACAGGTGCAAGTCCAAGTCGAAGAAACGACCGTCGAAAGCGAAAGCATCGAACTCCCAGACATCAAGAGCGAGTATGTAACAAGTTTTGACTTGCCAATATTTACTAAAACACTGTTACAGATACTCCGACTCTGAAGACGAGGACAGACCTAGAACGTTCGATCCTCCAGACTGGGCGCAATCGCCAGAGCTACGAAAGGCATTGGATGCTCAGAGCCGACTCAACCCTGATACGGTTTTCGGGGCGATTATGCCATTACGCATGGAAGACATGTTCAGGTCCAGACAGAGTCGTTTCCGCTCCCGTACCAGTTCTGCCAATTGGGGCGCGGGTGTAACAGCAGAGGAGGAGAGGAACTATGCTATGAGGATGGGTTACAACACATGATTCAGATGCATGATGATCGCACAGTTTATTTGTATTCTTATCGTCTACCCACATTATCATATCCATCTGTAGATTAAGTGCTCGTTATTGTGTCCTGTATGTGGAATCGAATTTGTGTAACGCGTACGCATAAAAGTACAAGACTCGAGAGGATGGTCATAACTTACATGCAAGTCAAGGTTACACTTACATGTACACAGCCTGACGCTGGAGACTCGGAATCGGGATCGGAATCGCGACCCACCTCTGCGTCGGCGATGTTCAAGCAAGCCATTTCCAGAGCAGCAACTCGAGGTCGATCTGTTCGACTCTCTTCCTCTATCGCTACCACCCAGAGCTCCTCGAGTCCCGCTCCACAGTCTCCCAATCTCCCTTCCACTTGGTCAACGTCACAACGTCCCCGGCCTACCGCCAATGATGGTCCACGATTCGAACAGACTTCTGTGGAGTATCAGCCCAATGCCTTGAGTGCTATGGAACTCATCAGTCGAGAACCTATCCGCTTGGTAAAAGGTCGTAAAGCTGTTTGCGATGGAGGTAAGCGACTCGCTTGATCTCGCAAACCTCACGCTAAATGCGACGTTTCAGGCGGTGGGGCTCTGGGTCATCCGAAAATATTCATAAACCTCGTCAGAAAATAACTTACCGGTCGTACTACTTTACTAACGCGCGTTGTCAACAGGACAAACCTGGGCCAAAACCATGCGGGTGAGTGTAACAGTATTTCGGCCTAAACATATTCCTGATTTTCACTCCCTTCTGATCACAGCTATTGGTATGTGAAAATGTCAAGCTTGTGAGATAATTCTCATTCTCAATCTCAGTGGACTACGCTTTGAACAAGCACCACATCACGGGCACGATCACTAGGAATTTTTGTCAGTCATGATGGTGCAGGAAAGCATCCTACTGTCAAATTAAGATAATAATACAGATCTACTACGCCCACCCTCCACCGGGTTATCATAGAAGAAAACTCGGAAAACGGTCCTAATAAGGTCACGAGCAATAACAGAGTGTTGATTGTACAATTGGCGGAGCCAGTTACGTCAAAGGAAGGGTACCCTGAAGAAGATATCCATAGATGAGGCAGAATCAGGGAAGGAGACAGTGTAGTATATACTAGCGAGATGGTAAGAACGTGAGAAAATATAACAAGAATACTCTGAAGAAGCCGAACGAATAAAAGACAGCTAGCCTGGTGGATCCGGCATTGGAGGAGGATGTCCAGTCATCATAGGCGAAACGAGCTGTTGATCTGCAACAGACTCAAGTTGAGAAAACGGAGGTAAAGAAGGATGGGATTTAGGTTGAGCATCTGGATGCATGGGCTTGAGGCATCCAAAGTCAGGATCAATTCACTCAGATACGCAGTGGCGAAGGATGACTTACGACCTGGAACATGGGATTGATAACGGAGGGTGGGCCGAGTCCAGGACTTGAGGGATGACTCGATGTGCCGAGCTCATATGGGCTACCTGGTCCAGGAGCTCGGAGTTGATGTTGATTCAAGCTGGACAGAGGAGGTAATGTGAGATGCGGATGACCGTTGGTGTGATATCCGGAATTGGAATATGAGCCTTCGTTCATGCCTTGCCAGTGCCTAGATGTGGGTGATAGAGAGAGCCCGTTCATAGGGGGTGGGGAAGCAGTTGGTCCTGCAAACGTGGCCCGTTCGTTGAACTCGCTGATGAGTTGTTGCTC